ACCTTCCTAATATTCCAGTCACCCTTTTCTTAAATTTTTTGTTACGTTTTATGTTCGCCATAATGGCAAGCAATTAAACTGATTATCTAAACCCGTTAAACACTATTTACAAAGTCTACATTTAGGCGCAGCTACCGTACGTTGTACCATACTTTTCCGCGGGACTTGAATGTGAGTTTTGCTCCCTTTTAGCTTTTCGGGGTGACTTATTCGTCGAGTTTGTACCTCACCACCTGCGGTTTACAAATTGTCTTATTATCTAAAATATTTGTACTAAAATTTACTTTTAATTTGAATACATACACTGAAAAAAAAACACAGTTCTTTTTCCAATAAAAGGGACAAAATATTTCAACTCAACTGTTTATAGACATTTCTGGATAAAAATAAATTAAATAATTATTTAGATTTTGTTTTAGTTTTTCTACTATTTTACTGGTTTCAAAAGCTAATGAATTTTTATGAAAAGTTTTAAGATTTTATAGCATTTATAACAAAATAAACGGGAGTATCGACGAAGTCTTCATAATTTCCTAATATTGAATTTTTTATTATCTGAAATATTATTTTAACATCTAAAATATATACTTTTTCTTGTAAAAACATAATATTGCATTTTTTTGTAAAGATCTTTAATATTCTATGATGCCACAATTACGCAAGCAAAATTTTTATAATTTCTCGCAGTGTAACTAAAGTTCCACATATGTCCACTCTTCAGTATGCTTCTTCTGCTACCTGGGAATGTCGACATATGTGAATTTTCTATTGTGTCATAAAACAATAAAACTTTTTGGACAATTCCTCCGCTGGCTATCTCTCGAAACTCATTTTCCTCACGTGCAGCGCGGCGGCAGTGTGAATTTGATAGACGACCCTCTCTGTTAGGCCTCCGGTTATTGCACACGAATGTGTGTCCAGTGTCAGCGGGTGGTAGCTGCGTGCCAGGAACACTGAATTTCGTAAATTTTTCATTGCATCGCATGTTCAACACACTTTTTTTTATTTACATTTCCGCAACTATTTTTTGTTTTCTTTTAATTTATTTCCTGACTGACGCCGACAAATTACAAACCACAATGGCTGCTCACGCACTTTTTACAGCCGAAAAAGTGGGGAAACTAAAACACATTACAATTGAGGTAAACAGTTGCGACAGTTAAGATTCATAGGTGTTATTTTGATTAGACTAAGCGGGCTTTCGTGATATTCGGTTATTTTAAAGTTTCTTTTTATTGTTTCAATGTATGTGTGCGACGCTTAAGTGCTTCAATTAAGTGCGAGACTAATGTTAGGCGTATGTTAATTTGGTTTTCAAATTTGTCTGCATGTGTTTTGCCTGTTGCGTGCATTGTCTTTGAAAAGTGGTGCCAGAGTTCACTTCCTCCCACTGCCTATTAGCTTTCTCACAAGCGGTTAAGTGCTGCCAACAATTTGCAGGTCATTTGTGCAAGAGTTCTCATCAGCGTCATCATCAACGCCATTAAACAATTAAACTAAATATAGCAGAGTTGTGTGACCCAGTCTATTTTTAACATTCTAATGCTAGAGTTTCTCATCTCTTTGTGATTATTTATCTTAAAGACGTCACTTGCCATTAATTTGTCGTAATTAACGTAGCAGCATACATACTTACATATATAGTGGATATAGTCAGAGTATCCTCTCAACGGCGTAGTCAAACTAAGTTGTTGTAAATTGGTTTGAAATTTATAATATTGGCACTTTGCTAGATGTTTGGCCCAGCATTAGGACTTCTGTTGTTCACCTACTTCAATATATGTGTGTATGTATATATTCGAGAACTAAGCTACAATGCTTTGGTTCTGCTTAAAACTAAGAGCGCTCTTAGCGTTTTTTGAACACTCCATCTAACTCATACTACAAAATGACTTTCTTAAGGGAGTGTAAACAGTAGAGGGGATGAAAATGAAATGCTTCCAATTTTTCGCCGGTCTACTGTACGTCAGTATCAAAGACTTTTGTCACAGTTTTTCGCAACATGAATTTGTGCTTTGCACATTCATGGATTTAATTGCAATTGCAATTGCAAATGTTGCTCGTGCGCACAGTCTTCCATCGACAATAGATGCGTCTGCTTAGCGCCATTTGTGGGCCTTTGTGACTCTGCGTGTGCCTCAGATGATTATTCGTGCTTTCCTCCTTCTTTGCTGTCAACTCAGATGTGCAAAAGTGTGTATATTGTGTTGCATTGTTATTGTTGTTGTGCTGTGTCGCTGGCACAGTACTGTGCATGTTGCATAATTACTCTGCTGACCCTAATCGCGCTCCAAATAGACGCGCTTACTGCGTCGCACAAATAACTCTAGCAAAGCTTGCAGCAGCAGCAGCAGCAGAAATAAAAGCAAAGCAGCAACATTAAAAGCAAACGATATGCGAATTGTTGCTGTCATGTAATTAAAGCGACAACAACAAGGAATTACGTGCACTTTCAACTCTAATTCCTTGAGTTGTAGCGGCACGCAACGGCATTTCGGGCGCTCGAGTGCATGCCTTGTTGTTGCTGCCGCGCATTGTTTGTGATGCAACTACTTGTTGTTTTTAATTTTGTCGCTAATACGCCATGAATCGGCTTCCACATGGCAAGCAGAAGTGGCACATTCAACGCTGGTGCCGCCATAGCCAGCGATTTTTTGCTGTTTTTGTTGTTGTACGTTGCTCTAAATGCCGGCCGCCTGCCTGACAGTGTCATTCGTGCACGCCACGCACCAATTCCTCCACACGCATTTTGCCCCAATATGCATGTACACAGACACACACACACACTGATGCAACATACGAGAGTATGTAAATTTCTTAATTTCCTCATTGTACGCATCCAACAGTGCGACTCTTTGTGTGCGTGTGTTGATGATGCACTCACCCGTTTGCGCCAGCATGCGCGATTAGGACACAGATTAAGACACCAGCGATTGAACTTTAAGTTCAAATTTAATGGCATTTGCCGAGCGAGTGATTCGGGCGTTGACAACGGGTTGTGGCAACATTCGTGGCAAGCGGCTGCTGCGTTGGCCCGGGCGTAGGCAGCTTATGGTAGTGGTGTCGGTGGTAGATGACCTTACGAACTCTGTTTTTGAAGTGTGTTTGTTTTGTTTGTTGTAATCTTAACGGTTGCTTTGTGCGCCACTAGTAATGCCTCATAATCTTTCGTTTGAATATCAGGCGCAGTTGTTGTTGCAACCATGTTAAATTCGAAAAGCGATGAAATTGTTGTGCTCTTTATGCAAAGAATGCCGATGCTCTGAGTATTTATTGGATTTGATTTGAGTTTTTGACATTTTTACACGCACATAAGCACTGACGACAGTATTCATGTTTGTACTCGTATGTATGTAGATATTTGTAAGTGTGAGTTACAATCGCTGACCTATATAAATATGATGCTTCAATGAATCTATGCATGTACTGCGACCACAATTGCACACACACACGCTTTAAAGAAAAATATTTTCCAAATTTTATTCAATTTTCGAATTTTACAAGTTGTAGGAGTTTCTTTGAATTTGTTTCAGCTTTGACACTTCGCAGACTCTATAGCTTAAAGTTCATCATAAACATCTGTTGAACTTTTGATTTTTAGAAATCGTTCTGCAAGACCTTTAATGCGAAAGTATGCACTAACTCACAAATACTGTAGATAAGCAGCTGTAATGAATAAACATATATATATAAAGGGTCTACCAACAAAAAGGACGTGATGGAAAAATGAGATAAAACACTTAAATTCGGTCAAAATAGTTTTTTTTGTTGCTATGCAGATTATGTTGTGCCATTCATGAACAAACTCGGCAAAATGGTCAGCTCCATTAATATATTCTAGAAACGTTAAATCGCAAGATCTGGAAGGCATTTAACTGGGCGTTTTCTCAAAGTTAACGAGTCGCCAAACTTTGCATGCAATATATCCATGTTTAGACGTGAAACATGAGGTGGCGCACCGTCTTGTTGGAAATAAAGATGGTCCGCGTCGATTTCATTAAATTTCGGTGAAACAAGTCGGTCAACAACGTTTTATAACGCTCGCTATTGATGGTAACGGTATTTCCTGCCTCATTTCGAAAGAAATAAAGCTCGATGATGCCGCCATACCACAATTCGCACCATATAGTAAATTTTTGGAAATGCAATTGCGTTTCCTTAATCACACGAGGATTTGAGTCACTCCAATGGCGACAATTTAGTTTGTTGATTCATTTTATATATAATATTGTAGATTATATATCTAAATCAGAGGCATGTACATCGATCTTAAGTTAAGACGTAATGTTCCTTAATCTCATAAAACACCTTCTAGGGTTGTCAGTTTAAGAGAATTCATCGAGCTTCATACTTATGTTATTAACAATAATGTATCATGTATAGTATGAGGCCTTATTCAACTCTTGACCAGTTGATGCTTTCATCCTGAATTAACAGAGAAGTTTAGGCAATACCAGCACTATTTAACAGAAGTTATTTTCTCAACTAATTCAAACTTGGAGCCTCTCATATTTGATCTTATGTCCCTATAACCGCACACTTATTTTTCATTACGGTTCTACAAACATATGTAAAAATTCTCTAATTCTTGTTCTAATTCACAATGCATTGCATGCACAATACATGGAATTGAGATAGAGATAATTAGATATGATCCTCTGGGGTATCCATAAATATTTCAACCACATCGACTGCTAATAAAAGAACTACACATAATTTGTTCGTTACACTTCTTGAAACTGTTGATAACCTTAGCATATAAAAGCATACAAAAAATATAGTTCGCCAATTCACAGTATTCCATTTTAAAACTTATACGTGTGTAAAAATTATGAAATTTGAAGTTGAACACGAAATACATTTTCAGTAAAGAGGGAAAATGCGCCGTTTCACATACACACACATCCGTGGCAGACTAGGCTGTTAAGTTCTTTCCATTGTTGGAGAGTTGAAAATTTCATGCTCGTGATTTTTGTGGCATTTTTACCCTTGATCGCCGCAGGCAGGAACAACAACAACCAACGAGAAATTTGAAGCCATAAAGCCAAGTCGCACTCTGACTTGACTGCCTGCCGTTTCAAAACTCGAGCATTGTCTACTCAGCGTGCTACCTACTTTCAGGTTATATTTACGAAAACGTCAAACCTTAGCAAATGAGAGGGAAAACCGATGAAGGAATTTTCATTTGGGATGTTTGAAATTTTCGCAACGTAAAACTGCGCGCTTGCAACTTCTCGATTTCAAATACCTTTGTTTTTGTCTTTTACTTACCTGAGTGAAAGGTAAACGCAAAAGACATAAATAATTGTTGTTTTTGGTATTAAACGAGTGTGTTTGTAGTGTTGTTGTATACTGTTGTACTACGAGCAGCTCTTTCAGTGCTCGTTTCCTTTGTATTAAAAAAAGAAACATTCCCTGAAAGAGGATTTGAAAGGATCAACGGCGAATGCTAAGCAGTCTTGCAGACGCTTCTATAAATAGAGGTTGTGTGCGTCTTCGCGTCGCCATTAGTGATAAATTTATTGAAGACATTGTTGTGATTTTAACTAAAGCTTCATAAAAAAACTGTATCAATTATTTACGTATGTATAAAGGTGTGTGAAACTTTAATTAGAAAAGAATTATGAGTTAAGTCATTCCTACGCGGTCATTTTCACATTTTTTATTTAAATTATCGAGCGGTGATATTTGGATTTCTTTCAAGCGACTGTTTTGGTTTTTAAATTTAAAAATTAAATTCTAAAGGTAGCTGACTTTGAAAATGTTGTATGGTGTAGACTCTCAATAAAATAGTAAATAATTTATTATCATTGCTTGTTGCTTTCAGATATTTTCCATAAGACTGTCGTACGAACTCAAGAGAGTTACGAAACCCGCCAAATTTTAAATAATCTCTCACCAAATCACATACAAACAACACTCATTTAGATATTTGTAAACATAAATAATAAATCGGCAATATAAGTACCGAAAACACACGAAAAGATAAACGAATAGCAACACAAAGCATGGGCGAGCTGGAAGAGAAGGAGACAGGACCATCAGAAACTACACCACAGCAGGAAGCAGTCGACGAACCGAAAGAGACCGACAAAATGCTCGACAAAAAAGAGGATGCCGATGGCGCAGAGCAGCAAACAGAAAATGTGGGCGCAAAAGACAAGAACCCAAGTCCGAACACGGAGAAAAAAAAGGCTGCCAACTCAAAGCCAACAACCCCAACACCCAGTACTAAAAAGTCACTAACTCAATCGGTCGAAAAACTTTCCGCTGGTACTGACGCTGAAGTACAGCCGGTAAAAGCGAATGGTGGTAGTGGCGAGGAGATAATTGACATACCGGACGCAGCTAAAACTGAAGAGGGTGATGAAAAGAAGATCTCTACTGAAGATCGTGAGGTCAAACCGATGAAGATACCGATTGGTGGCTTGAAATTGCCCGGTTTCTTTATGAAAAACAAGCCCAAGGCTGATGGTGATGGCGCTGATGGAGAACTTTTGGAGCGAGAAAATAAAGATGAAGTGCCGACTGAAGCGGCAAACGGCGATGGCAAAACGAAGAAAGAAGAAAAGCCGCGTAGTAATTTTGGTGAGCGCTTGCGCAACTTTTTCGTGCGCAAGCCAGCTGTCGAAAAGCAACAGACCAAACAAACAGCAAATGGAGATGCCGATGCAAAGAGTGGTGAGTTTGCCGTACAAAGCATAGTATTGGATATTATTTTCTAAATATATAGTTTTCTTTATGATTTTTAGAAGCTACTGCTGAGGCAGCTGCTACTGATGGTGAGACAAACAATGCCTCGGATGCGCTACCACAGAAACGCGGTCTTTTGAATGCTATCAAATTGCCGATTGCAAACATGATACCGAGAAAGAGGACGGACGACGATGTAGAGCTGGGTATGGGCAAAGCAGGACTCGCCTCAATGGAGACGCTGGATGACTCGCTGAAGGATCAAGATTGTGTTGATAAAGCGCCCGCTAAGAACAATGGCTCCGAAGATTCTGTGAAACTTAAGAAAACACCAAGTGGTGAAATTAAACAAGAGGGATCAGAAGAGGTGAGTAATCGATTTAATACACACGATTGCATTTTTATATGTGTTTCCGAAATATAGAACTTTTGGTATGTTACTAAGTGAAATATGTTTGATTTTTAGAAATCTCCGGAGGAGCCTGAAGCACCCATTTCTTTCGCCGAACGCTTGCTTTCGTACCGCTGTTCCCCGGATGACGGCCTGATCGTGCTCGGTGTTCTGCTTTTCATCATACTCATTGCTGTGATCGGCTATGTTCTCTCGCTTGAGACACTCACCTCACCGCCCGTACGTGAGGGACGTTTCATGGACGCCGTTACTGGTTGTGGCATGGTTGAGGGACTACAAGAGGATGGCGCATTTGCATTCCGTGGCATACCGTATGCTCTACCACCAGTAAACGAACAACGTTGGCGTCCTGCGCAACTGATTGGCGGCATCGAAGATTGCTGGAATGGCACCCTGAAGGCGCATAATGTGAGTAACTATTGCACACAGCGATTGGGCAACGGTACCATTGTGGGCGACGAGGACTGCCTGTACTTAGACGTTGTCACGCCACATGTGCGTTACAACAGTCCAGTGCCGGTTATTGTGTTGATTGGTGCCGAGACATTAACTGGTCCATCACCTGGTGTTCTCCGGCCATCGGCACGCTATTCACGCTCACATGACGTTGTGTTTGTGCGTCCGAACTTCCGTTTGGGTGCATTTGGTTTCCTTGCATTGGACGCGCTTACCAAAGACGCCTACCCACGTACTTCGGGCAACTATGCACTCTCTGACATCATTGCCGCGCTAAAGTGGGTTCAACTGAACATCGCGCATTTCGGGGGTGATCCCAAAGCTGTGACTTTACTTGGTCATCGCGCTGGTGGTACGCTCGTTTCCGCACTTGTAACCTCTAACAAGATCGAAGGTCTCTATAAGAACGCTTGGGTTTCGTCATCGTCAGCCATCTTCCCTGGCAAGCCTTTGGAGGAATCGGAAAAGCGTAATGAACAATTTGCGAAGTCATTAGATTGCACCGATATCAATTGCTTGCGCAGCTCATCGACCGAAGAAATTTGGGCCGCCACCCCAGACACCTGGTTGCACTTCCCTGCAGACATTCCGACTACAGACGAAAATCCCAGTGCGCATCATGAATGGCTTGTGTTGGATGGAAACTTCCTGCAACGTCACCCCGCCGATGCCTGGAAAGAAGAACATACCGGCCAACCGAAACTCGTCATGGGCACAACCGCACATGAAGCACACAGTGAGCAGCTGCGTCAACGCCACGCCAACTGGACTGCCGAAGAAGTCCGCGCATTTATTGCAGCCTCGAGAATTGGCGCACTCAATTTAACAGACGAAGCTATACGGCTCTACAACGCGACAAACTATCGCAACTTAATCGCCATGATTACCGACATACGCACCATCTGCCCGCTCTTGACTAATGCACGTCTACAACCGTCTGTGCCGTTCTATGTGGTGCAACAAGGTGAGGGAGAAAATCAGTTGGCCACCGTCGATACAGACGTGCTCGCCATACTGGGCCGCTATGAGCCGCATACAGCAGAGCAGCGACGATTCATGTCGTCCATGCAACAGCTGTTCTACTACTATATCTCTCACGGCACCGTACCTCAATACGACCCAAGTCGACGAGTGCTGAATATCGCGCAAGATCCACTGCCGCAGCAAGATCACCCGAACTGTAATTTCTGGATTAGCCACGATATCGTGCCGCGCTATGCACGTGTCGACTAAGGGAGTCGGCCGAAAGGGCAGAGTGACGAGTAACGAAGGTCAAGCCGATGTGTTAAGTGAACGAGTAGAGTGTGCATGGCTGTGGACTTAGAGCGGAATGAAGGATGCGACAGCAGAAGGAGAAAATTGGAGCCCTGCAGAGTCCTGTGTGACAGCGCATCGACGTTTCATACATAGACTTACTCACACACACACACACACACACATAAACGAATGCATTTATACAAACTGAACAAGTTGAATAACAAGCAGTAGCTCCCAACCAACCCACAAAAACCATATAAAGAATAAAGAAAAGACGGACACTGATTAGCGTGCATGGGAAGAATCTGAAACAGTGAAATTATCTAAGCAGTGAAAAGTATATGTTGCATGGCGCATGTTTTTTCTGGAGCTTTATATACCGACTTTATATGAAATTTTTACACTGAATTTCCTTTTTTTATACAATAATTTCTTACTCAAAACAAAAACAATCAGAGGTTTATTTGTTTTATTTTATGCGTAATAAATATGAATTATTAATTATTGAAAATTAATAAAAATACTTAGTGGCTAAGCAATGCTAGTTTTTATATGTAAATTTAATTTAAATAATAAATGAAATTAAATTAAGAGTTAATAAAATTAAATTTATTTTTTAATCTAAACGCGAACTTTAATCTTTGCAGCGAACACGGTCTCTAAATTCATTGATTCGAATATTTGTGGAGGCACTCCACATACATAAGTTTAAAATATGATTTTTATACAATATATATGTGTAAGTCCGTATTTTATGTAAATTTAGCGTTAACACCAACACAAAAGATAAACATACACACAAACACTCATATACATACAAAATACAAATACGAATAAATTAAAATAAAAATGTGTAAAAATTATTTGAGAAGTGAAAAACCAAAACAAACATGCATTTTCTTTTTTCCGACCTCAACACACACACACTAACACATACAGCTTAGTTACTTTTTAAATGTGTATGTTTAACGTGTAAGCTTTAAGTGTAAAAGTTCAACTTCATAAAATGTGTTTCAACTTATACGCTCAAAAATGCACCCTATATCGTTAGATTTGAATTTGGGTTCTTGAGGATCATATATCGCTTACCTCAACTCCATCCCTAGCGCTCGTTTTAAGTTTGTTTGCTTTTAGTTTCCAAAACTACACTGGCGGCTGCGATTTTGACGCTCGACAATGGAACTAATTCCTTAGAAGGGTTATGAAACGAAACCAAAATGTGTTAACGAAAGTGATCCTAACTGAAGATTAGTCATTTGGTTATGTTTATCTGACGAACTCCGAAATCAGTATAAATGGTGAATATACCAAATTCTCAGTGTTTGCACTAAATTAGTTTCTTCACTGTAATATTTTTGTATGCTAACAGTTTTAATGGCGATCGCTTATTTAAATACCCATTTTAATATAGTTGGAGCCCTCGGTGGGGAGTTACTATACTCTGAAGAAGTCAAAATCTCAACTGCTACAACACTGACGATAATGCTTTTTCACCACACACATACACATACAATGTATTGGTCGTCATCACCGCAAGCACTACAAACCCAACACATTTATTTTCATTCTACAACAACACAAAAATCCATAAATTCAATAATTATTAAGTGTAAGTGTACAAATACATATTCGGTATATAAAAGTGATTTAAGCGGAACTTAACCTAACAAAAATAAGTGAAATTTTGAGACTGCATTTCACATGAATTTAAATTAAAAACATTTTTGGTTTTTTAAGAAATATCAGTAATTTACAAAATATAGCTTGATTAAAAAAGAAAAAAAAAACCAAGAAATAAAAAAGTAGAGCCATTTGGTGTTATATGAAATTAGAATTTTAAGTAATTAGGGAAATGTGTAACACAAATAAAATTTTCATAAAATCTTTATTACAAAATACATGTATAATATATTTTATTATTGATTTATTTATTATTTTCAATTAATTTTTATTGTCCAAATTACTAAATGCCAATATTAAGTTCGTTAAATAAATTCAATACAAATATTCAGTAAAAGTATTAATCTCTCAAAATCTCATTAGTATGTATAGTGCATATGTATATACATTTGATCAAAGTATGTATATGAAAAGCAGTTGACATTTCTCAGTCCTTTCTAGCTTTAGTAAATATACTCACTCTCAAAACTATTCACCTAGCATGGAACTTCATAAGAATATACAAATTCTATTTGTAAAGAATAAAAATAAAAATTTGTTATATTTGTATGCATATTTGCTTGTATTGAAGAAATAAATGGTATATAGACAAAAGAAAACTTAATGATTAATATATAGAAGGACTTTTTAATCAAATAACCTAAAGACCTAGGTGTGTCGAAAGACAGCCACTCTAACTTGTAGATATAACTCGGAGGTTTTTGTTATCATTATTATTATAATTTTATACCCTGAACAGGGTATATTAGGTTTACCACGAAGTTTGTAACACTCAGAAGGAAATGTCGGAGATCCTATAAAATAAATATATAAGTAATCAGCATGGTGAGCTGAGTCGATTTAGCCATGACCGTCTGTCTATATATACCCGAACTAGTGCCTCAGTTTTTGAGATATTGAGCTGAAATTTTGCACACGTCCTTTTTCTATCCAAGAAGCTGTTCATTTGGCGGAACCTTCGATATCGAACGACTATAGCATATATTGTACTATACAAACTATATACCATACAAACTGACCGATCAAAATCAAGAAACCCATCTTTTTATACCCTTTATACTATAACAAATGCACCTGTGAAGGGTATTATAGCTTCGGTGCAGACGAAGTTGACGCTTTTTCTTTGTTTTATTACACAACAAACCAAAGTCAACGTTTGTCCCCTAGCAAAAGTTCCCTTGCATAAAACCTTCCCGGATTAGCTATGTGAAATGTTGCTACATTGACAATTTCCAACGGGATATAAAACCCAGACGTTTGTGTTACGTTTTTACATATATTTGAGCGTTGTTGTTGTATTATCAATATATCAAACTGTCATTGGTTGTTCTTTTCATCCGTCGAATCGGAGGCCGATGCTGAGTTTGGAGCTGCTGTTGTTCGCGCGATATCCAACCTGACAGCCAGCAACTAGCAACTAGAACTTAGCTTTGGCGACGGCTATTCTTACGCATTTCCATCGGGATGGAACTAACCGTAAAAGATCGCGTTCCCCTTGGAGCAGCTGCAACACAAGTTGCCCATAATGCTATTTTCTTACTACCAGCCCTTATAGATTAAATCTTAATTATGAAACAAATATATTTCTTATGTTCACATTCAGTCTGAGCAAATTTTTATTTCCATATATTTAATAGGATTTCAATAGTATTTTTTGCTTAATCTTACGTATGTCTATGTAGACTTAATGATCACAAAATATCATTTGGTTGCCGCAAAACCACTAACAAAACTTACATAATGAGTTGGTGTAGAAATTGGATGTACAAATTTTATAAAAAAAAGCTCAATAAAAACCGACTAAGCTTAAGTTAACATTAAGGAAATGATCTATTTAAATATGATGGATATTTAGGTATCAAGCAACATACATATTTATATATTAAATGGCAAAAAACAACAAAAAACATACTTAAAACACAAATCTACCTAATTAAAAACTAAAAATATTTCAGATTCGCAGTTTTGCACTAAGTGTTTGAAGACGTCAGCTTGTACATGCGGCATTTAGTTTCGGAAAGACCAGCCAGGTATGTTGCATCGCTCGTATAGACGGGGCATATGTCATATATAATTTCCTGTGCTGGCATTGTTTGGACGCGCTGTTCGCGACGCACATCGAACAACGCTAATTGTTTGGCATCCTGAATGTAGCCTGCAACTAGCGTATTCGCTTCAACCGCAACTTGCGCACAACGTGTCATCACTGGCGTAGCTTTGGAGCCTTGAAATGTTACTTTCACATTGAGTGTTGTCGTATTGTCAATCTTTTCCAAACGACCGACTATATACCGTGACTGTGGGTGGCGCATACTACACCGGGCCGAGACTAGCAGCGTTTCATGAGCGGCATCAAAACGCATGGAACAGAAAGGGCCATCTAAAGGGAGGCGAGTAGCAATAGTTGTGCTGCTGGTATCAGTGTATTCGTAGAACCAAAGTGATTGCAGTTTGCAAACAAGAAAGCCACCGTGTGGAAAACTATTGCATTGGGACACACTGGCTACATTAATCACAGTACTTAAATCGCCTAAAAATGTAACAATTGTAAAAATCTTGTAACAAGTGTGGTTAATCTCATCAACTTACCCTCAGTTTTATATTCCTCTAAAATGTTGTCTGGGAAACGCATATCATACGTGTATGTGCTGCCACTGGAGGAACCCAAATACAGTATATTTTCTCGCTCTTTGCGGTCTATAGCACATGCCCACAGCATTTTCTCACCTGGTTCGAATGTGGAAACCACTTGACGGGTGCGCAAATCGAACAATTTGGAACGTGTTTCCATGCTTGCCACAGCCAGGAGCTGCTGATCGGAACTTAAGCTAATATCTCGCAATAATTTCGACGACGCATGTAAGAATGTTGAGGTACGAAATGTAGGCATATCGATGAAGCGCACGCCATAGCCAGGAAATAGACCTTGCGCACTTTTCTGTGATGCCAAAATTGTAGAATGCTGTGCAGCGTGTATTAATACTCGGCAACCAGGCTCGCGTGTCAACTCAATTGTACGCTCGAGATAAATCCGTTGTATCTGGAGTCTTAGCAATTCCTTGTTATCGGCAAAGTTGGCATCGTAGCTGAAGCTATTGCCTCCACCAGTTCGTAGCATTTGTTTCATGCGATCGTTCTCTGCCTGAAGGGTTTGCATTTGCATGGCTACCATTTTATGCGCCATTTTTAAAGACGCTACTTCCGTTTGTAATGACTGTGAGCGGCAACGCTCTGTCTCTAACTGCTCGCGTAAGCGATGCTCTTCGCTGCGATCGATTGCCCTTAGCCGCTTAGCGTACAAACAACGTATATCACGGATTGCCGCCTTTGCTTTGCATTGTGGACAAGCCTTAATGCCCGACTGGCGTGCACTCTCTGCCAACCAGCGACGAATGCAGGAATCCCCGAAGAGATGTCCACAGCGCAAGGACACTAGACGGTGTTCACCTGACATCTCCCAGTTGTCGAGGCAAATAGGGCATATCATACCTTCGTCTTCTTCATCTCCCTCCAGACCATTTCCATCGGTGGATTTAACACGCGGTGTGTTCGATTTTGGAGTGCCTGTACTGAGTCGCTTTCGCTTCTTCGGTGGTGATGGGGAAACCAAATTTACCGTTGAACCCTCGTTGTTTGACACATCAATATCAGCAGAATCTGAGCCAATACTAGGGCCAGGCAAAGGGTCAGGTGGAGTAGATTCAGGTGCAACCACTAAACAATTTTTTGAACGTGATAACAATATCTATATATATTAGTCAAAATATTTCTATAATACCAATATCAGATCCTTCGTCGCTTGATCGTCGTTCGTGCGGCAAAGATTCTCTAAGCATTTCTTGCGCTTCTTCAGCTAGGTGATTAACAACATCAACTTCAGCCGCATCTGTATCAACATTGTTGTCTCCTTCATGACTGTTGGCTTGCTCCTCCATGTGGACAGTATTGGGCTCATTTTCAACGTCATCTGCGTCTTCCTCGCTTAGCGCCCTTAACGAGATATAATCATGGTCGGTATTACCTACTTGTCCGCGTCTTAAACGTGTTCTCCGCCTATTTATATTGTTGAATTCTATACTGGAGTCGTCGCTAGAAGTTGAGCGTGTACGACGAGCGACGTAATTGTGATCCCCCTGCGATTCCCCCTGTGAGTTTTGCATTTTAGCGCCAATATAAAACTGTCGTTACCGATGATTCCACATTAAATTTAAAATAATTATTCACTTTTGCGTTGACATTGAAAATGTTCACCAAAATATAAAATTTTCAGGACTTTGATTCAAAAGCAGCGGCAGTAGAAGCTCAGTGTTGCACTTTCTGAATTTAAAAAAATGTTTCTCAATTTTACCAAACTACTACAAATATTAATTAATACCAATTACATGTTTGGAAATATTAGTACTTACTTTGAGATTATGTGCTAAATATTTACTTCGCTTGTTCTTAAATTCGATTCAAAACATAAACTAAATATGTTTGGCATTGGATATTAATATTTCGAAATTGGTGAACAAATCAGCTGTCATATATTCGCCGACGATATAAAACCTGAATTTATTATTTATAAATGAACGTTGGAACCCTGGCAAAGATTTGTGCTGCCAGTGCTTCTATTAAATAATAATCAATAATATATTTCATATATTATTCTTTATCATATATTAAGATTTAAAATAATGGGATAAATCTAAATAGTTTTTTTTAAATATATTAGGATTTAAAGATAACATATTTTACCGACCTCAAACATTTCTTCAGGAAAAATATTAAATTTTGACGTTGGTGTCTTATTTACTTTTACAGCAACACGGCAACATTCTCGAAGTAATTTCGCAAAGCCGATTGTCAAATTCAGCGCAAAAAAGCCCAGAGCTTAGTTTAATTGCATTGGAATTTCTCAATATTCTTCCGTTATTTCTCGATCGAAATTATTAAAGTTAGTGAATTACTGTTCAATACATAAATTAAATCAATACACAAGTAAAATCAAGCAAACATTACTGTGCTAACCTTCAGTTTTTCTTTTCTCAGGCCTGACACACCCGCCTCAACGCCGCCTATCTTGAGATTTTGGGTACTTATTTGAAGCTGACATTCCGCTCTACCTCGCCTTCAGACAGTAAAATTTGTTGCTCTGTACAAAAAGAATTTTAATATATTAGAATTAGCATCTTATAGAAGTAAAACAACCGCAACGAAAATATGTCCCAGTTAAATACACCGGAAAAAGATGCGGCTGGCAAACCCCCGACTAATCGACAACATAGTGCGCACAGTCCAAATCTAACTTTGCAGCTTCCCAGTCCTATTATTACAAAGCGCACACGCACTGCTTCAACGTGAGTTAATGTTGAAGAATACATTTTCAAGAGGAAATGTGTAAAGATTTACATATAAAAATCTAATTACAATTATCTCATCATAATTCTGCATTATTTTTTGCATTTTTTTTTAATTACACTTTAATATTTTTTGGAAAGAATTTTGCATGATTTACATATATATATATATCTATAAATTATACTTACAGGTCGGCTCGTGCTTTAGAAAATCCAATTGAAACAGGAATCGTTAAGGCATTTAGTCGTTCGAAGGGACATGGGTTCATCACACCGAAATCAGGCGGTGAAGAACTCTTCTGTCATGTCTCCGAGTAAGTTAAAACATTATTTCGAGGTCTTTACACACAATACATGAAATCAAATTGCAGTATTGATGGTGAATATGTGCCACAACAAGGTGATGAAGTAAGGTACCGCCTATGCGCGATTCCGCCAAAATTCGAAAAACACCAAGCAGTACATGTGCAAATTATCAACTTAACACCAGAAGTGCACCATAAGTGGGAGGAGCCCGTCTACCCAGATTCTCCTGCTCAGTAACGTGTTGCTGAAGTGACAATTTATTAATTGTACACTCTTTTCATGTCACAAAAATCCTTGGCCAGTGGTAATAATAAGTGTATAGTTCAATATTTCTTAGAAAGACCTAAATTTGCCATTAAATTAGGAGTTTAACAAATTTTGTATGAGCAGATCACACATTTAAAAATAAAATTTTACACCTTTTGCTAAAACAATAGGAGCGACCGTAGAAATAATACATCGAAAATAATTCAATTAAAAAATAACTCTAAACTGCAGGGAACAAAGCACAGATAGTTTGTATTTTTTTTTCTTACAAATTATAGGAAATATCTTAATTGAAACCGGAACATCCGCAATTCGAAATTTAAATGCTCTTATTCAAAGAAATTCTGTTTTGAAAGTAAATATATGTATGTAATTCATTGTTTGCTAAGCTAAACCGTATCACAATCAAATATCTATAATAATATAAATCTGCGGCGTGAGTCAAGTTACATACATGTGTATTGTTTATGGTCAACATAGCAATTATAATTAAGCGTCAATAACGGAAGGCAATTACGTCCAGTATAAATACATGTGCAGGAGTAATAAATACAACAACAAATGAGAATCGTTTAAGTAAACAAATAAAAACAAAATTGGCAAGGTTATTTTTTCTTTTATTTGCTGCTGCCGGACTAAAATTGTTGGTTATAATTTGATATCAGTTGGTGCCATTTTTAATCTTGTTTTATGAATTTGATCTAAGTGTCTCGAATAATTTATCTAATCGTTTATCATTTTTAATTCAATATTCTGTTAAACCTTACCTTAAATATTAATATTAAATATCTACATAACTTGTTGAATGATTCAAGTTAATTTAATAATTTCTAATATTAATTGAAATTCTAAATATAATTTTCATATAAAACAATCATGCTTACATACCATACATAGATAGAATTTGTACTTTATGCTACTTTTCTTGACTAAATAAAAATAAATAAAGGAAACTAACTTTTATTTTTAACTTCAATAGCCTATTTGAATTTAAGAATGATATAGTTTTCAATACTTTTCTATTGGATCAAGATCCGAAATTCAAACAAAACGTCTGATAAAAATCTGAAAATCTGAAGACTTCATCGGAAAGTTCAATTAATTATCAACAAATGCGTTTATATATTAGTTATGATAAAAGAATATACCAAAATATACCCGTAAAGAATTTTATATCAATTCGTGCAACGCTGCAATTTACTCAACTATCACTAAACATACTCATCCGTCATCATGTAGCACGGTTTGCATTTTTTTCTATTTACATTCATTTATATGGACCGACCGAAGCTAAATAAATAAATTTTTTATGTTTGGGTTTTATTTGCTCTAGCAAAATGTTATTATTTTTTACCCAAATTCAGTTTATTATAAAATAATGCAAGAATATTTTGTTTTGAAAACGAAATGTTCGGCAACTACATTTTGAGGCTAATGTCATGGTGTCAAAAATATTTTGAGCAAGAAATTGGCAACGCTGTTTTGTTCAGTCTCTGTGTGCGGTTTGTGTGGTGCGTGAAAAATTTTCCCGTTTTGTGTTGGTGAATAGCGGAAACATGAAAACTTGTTTAATCTGATTGTTAATTAAAGGAAAAAGTAAATAAAAGAGCTATTATAAGTATATCTATGCGAAAAGTGTAATACTGTTTCGTAAGTTTATTTACATATGGAATAAAGAAACATTATATGAGAATCCGTGCAATGAAAAAAATGTTGAAAATATTTGTGGCAATGCAGTGTGAAAGCGACGAAAACGCAGCATAAAGTGTAAAAACCGAAAAGATAAATAATAAAGGAATTGAGAAAAGTGTTTGTGTGGTCTCGCCCCTTTTTGATGCTGGGAATTGACGAAATTGTGTGTTGAAAAAAATTCAAAAAGAAAAAGCTCAGTTTTTATTTTTAATAAATTTAAGTTACTTTGTATTTTCAAATACTATCTTTTTATCCTGTCCCCAAGTGCTGGCAGGAACTAACATTTCCAATACCGTTACTGAATTTGTCATGTACAAAAAAGCGTTTGCTGTTGATTTGTGCTTTTCCAGACAACATCCACCGTTGCAGCGGCCATAACTTTGTTTCTGTTATGTTTATGCGTGTGCCTGTGTCGATGTCCTTTGGCTCGTTTCTTTACGTTACTTCCCACTTTTAATGCTTTTCTGCCCTCTGAATATACATATACGATGTAGACATGTACTATATACCTTTATTTATGAATAATATTCTTCTACATAAGGATATATGTATTTCGCGAAATAGTCGCATGAGAATAATTTGGATAATTTGACACAGTAAAAAAAAAATACTTCTCAATTATTTTAGTGTGATTAGTCGGCTTACACTAAAAATATCCAAAGCCTAATTTATCTAATGCAAAATTATAAAATGGCAAACATTTTTATTTAATTTTATACAAATATTTTGCAAGGAAATTGTCTTATATTTTTTAACTGAAAATATATTAATGCTTTTACAACAAATTTTATGTAATAAAAAGTATTTTGTGCCGAATGTGTTAAAGTGTTGCGCTTCGGCTTTTTACAAAATATGTTTTATCTAAATAGCTAATTTTAATATGACAACAATATTTGCTTCTATGCTTAGTAAACATTTTCACTATATCGCGTTTAATATGACTATGGCATGACTGAATAAAAGTCTTTGACGTCGTCGAAAGTCATTAGTGCTCTTGGTTTTGTGTAAGCGAGGAGAATTCGGTGTTGTACATTTGAGGTGAGTAGAAATTATATACATATCTAATTATATACCTATATAGGTAACTGTATTTAGCCGCACATTTTAATTACTTATTCCAGATTCACAGACCTTAAAACTCGGATATTGTAAAATATTATATTTACCATAGTCTAAAAGCTTAATAACTATATGAAAACATATTTGTCTCATAACATTACATTTTTAATCATAAATTCAACATTCAAGATTGCCAAATGGCAATAACTAATATCAGCCATTAAATAAAGCCAATAACTCAAGCTGCTTTGTTTCATGGCTGTGTGATTTAATAATATTTAGAATCAATTTAACAAAGATGCCACTTGTGCTATATTAATCACTTTGAAATCTATAATTTGCAAAAACAATCGTTGGCCAAGCACGGCTTTTGTGTTCTCAGCGCTCTAGCACATTCGTATGTCATTCTCGCTATAGCTAGAGTAACGGTTAGTGATCCTCACATGTGTTTTCACTGCACAGACACACATATGCATTGAGCGCATACAATTTTCCTTTATAAAATCCATTTGAAGGCAAAACACTTGCACGCATCACTTAATAATGCCTTGCATCAAATAATAATGGTGTCATAATGTCAGTTCGTATTTTATACTTTTATTTATTATTGCTCCGGCTACAGCTGCTCCTATCGCAGCTACTGCACAGCTGCCTTCGGTGCAATTGAACGCATTGTTATTGCAGTTGTAGACGAATGGGCTCTTGTTGCTTGTAAATTAATTCAATCAAAAGCCTCCAAATAATGAGGGACTGAAGAAGTCATGAAGAGAATGTGAAAAGGAAAAGCGCATAAAGAATTTACAGTTGTAAGCGTTGAATAATTGTTGCAACCTTTTTTGATGTCTACATTTTCTCTTATCGTTTCTAGCTCTTTGCCATTACAGCATATTGCTGCTGTAGCTATTATTGTTGATTCTTGCTTTGCGTATCAATAAATAAGTCAATGCACTATTTTCGAGAATTGAGAGTAGATAGTTGTTTTATGTGTTTATGTCTGGTGTAGGTATTTAACTACATATATATGCTTTATATATTGGAGTTCTACTGCTTATTAGGTTTTTCCTTATAAGCACTTTTATATGTATGTATACACTGTGTTTTTGGGCATTAGCTTCAAATTTTGTTTGCTTTTGTCTCTATTTGTATTTAACCCTTGTGGTAAACATCATATTTCACTTCAGTTTTTTTTCAAAAAAGCTCCTGTAGGAATTTTTAAATTTTTGTTGCTGTAGCGATACAAAACACTTCTCAACTGCTTTTGTAGAATCTACAAAGTCGACAGGCCTTGATCGCTTAAAAATCACGGTAATCTACTCCTTGTTTACATTTCATATGAAATTCATTTTGAGGCTACTTTTAAAAGTTTTTTAATTTTGCATTATCATAATTTCGAACAGAAAAGGTAAATGACCAAAAAGTGTTGAGAGTACATAAATACTTATTAGTTAACATGGTTTACATAAAATTTTTGAAAAATCAGTATTTTTGTTTGGTGAACATTATATAAGGGTTAAAGTGGCGTGCTACAAAGTAAAGATAGCAAGCACTGTAATGTATGTTGTTGGATGCATACCATGCTTTTGCTCCATTTTAAAAGTATCAGAATCTAAACATTTAATGCTATAAATAACAGCTCCAACTTCTAATACTTTTTATATGCTGCTCGACCTTTGTTTACCATTCGTGGGGAGATACACGAACATTGTGGCTTGCTACACGCACTATGATAGGCAAACATTGACTAGATGATATCTCATTTGCTTTTGAAGTTGCTTTGCCGCGGTCGTGAACACCCACACCCACATACATTTGTATGTATGGACGCGTATGAGCTATGTACACATGCACCTTTGCTGCTCACTGCTTGTCTTATCACACCAACGACTTGCTGCTGAGCCCATTCATCTCCATTTTATTTAGTTTCCCCGAAGCCCTCTGTATTTAACTTTATGTTGCTCCACGGCAGTTCGATATTTCTCCTAGCCGCGGCTTTTATGTGCGCCTCTAGTGTTGTGTGTATGTTTATTTATCTGTCATTGGCCTGCTGCTATTTGGTCTATGTAGCTGCCATAAATGCATATTACCGCTGCATTTGTACATATACATACATACACCTATACAGAAATTACATATTATTTGTGTACACAAATGATACCCTTCTTATTTAGTCACTTTACGTATCTGCATCGTTATACTCGTATCTCAGTTTGCGCTTGGGTTCTAAAAAGTCGCAGCCACACTTGACTCACATTTGGTGCACGTCTATCAGCACCTCCTGTGTGAGACGTCGCTCGAGCGCCCATTCCTTGGCGTTGTTTTAAATATTTGCTCCTAAAAATAGCTGCGACAATGCTTAGCACTGGCTTCTGCCTGGTTGCCACAATGTGTTGCACACATATTGCTAGTGTAAATAGACATAGGCACATACATACAGTAACTCGCAAAAGTGTTGACGCAACAGTTTTTCGCTCAGATGAGAGTTTTGTTTTTAGTGCTGCATTTCGTGTCAAAATCAAGAAAAAAATGGGGCATATTTAATTTATACTTCTCCCCCTCCCTTTTAATACAAAAAACTTGTGCGTTCTATGTTTCACATCGATTGGAAAGAAAAAACTTTTGAAACAATGCCTTCTTCAACTCTGCGACTTAGACCCGACTGTTGTGTGAACGGAATAATATGTGTTTTCACTTGCTTTCATGAGTAATTTCGCGATTCACTGTTTCTATGAGCGTTTAGCTTCATGCTTGTAATTGCTGTCGTGGCAAGCTGGCGTATTTGTTCTTTGCATTGTTTGCAGCTACGAAATATGGTGCAATGTCAACTATTGTGTCGAGTTGAGGAGTGAACTGTGCAGGATCCATTGCCGTTTTATAAAATATAAAGAAAAACAGTGTAATATCGCTGCCGTAATTGTAGTCCGTCCTCATCGAGTGCGGCGCAGTTTTTTATTGAGCTACAAGAAGCTTACGCACTCAATACTTTATACATTCTTTACTGAATAAATTGAAATTTATGCATGTTTGGTTTATAAATGAAGAGGTTCATATATACAAAGCAATCTTAGGTGTTTTTTGGTTCATATGTAATATCCGTGTATTATAGCATTTAGGGCCATTGAGTGTCTTGAAGCAAAAAGAACTGAACCTGAAGCAAAAAGAACTGAATTGTCGGACTACCCATCAAAAATATACGAGATGTCTTAAAAAAAAAAATAACGGGAATTTTAAAATTAAAATTTCACGAGTTTGGAGAGTCCAATTGTCAACTGTTTTTTATGTTGATGTACATGCCCCTGAAGTACGATAAAAAATGCAGCTGTATTCTTGCTTACTATATTTGTAGCAGTCGCAAAGGTTAGATTTGTTTGTTGTCTGTCCGTTTGTTAAAAAAAATGTATCAAATAATTTGTTCATGAATTCTTGGCCAAAAACAATGCTGTAGACCCGGCCTCCATAGTCGCCAGTCATGGCTTCGTGTGTTCTATTTCCAAAAACAAAAGAGAACCTTAAAGAGCCGTCGTTGCACAAGCATAGACAACTTTTTGAAAGGGACAACAATAATGTAGACAGATGCATGAATATTTCAAAAAACAAAAATTCCCTATATTTATTGAACACATCGCGTAGCTGCCAATTTTTTTGCATTGCCTTTTTAAACTCTGTGATTTTTCGTGCTTTTACTTATAAACTCACACAATTTTGAGCAATATTTGCTCTTCATTTATGTTGCCCCACTTATTGTTTTAATCAATATTTTCAAAACCACGAGCTTTAGTTAACATAGACAATACCTAAAAGTTTATGGCAGCTACCTCAAACATTCATTGACAATACTCTCTCTCTCTTAATCTCTGTCGCTCGAACTATCAGTTTCGTGCGCAGTAAGAACAGACTTAATTAAAATTAATTCAAATAATTTGAAACTTTCCAGAGCGTTCTAATGAACTTTTCTGCGCTTCCTTTCCTCGTTTCTTCCTTTCGCATTCAACAAGAGTTTCGTTCGCATTTCCACCAACACCCCAAGGTAAGTTGGCCGCTTGCAGCGCCACCACCAACCCGTCACAGTCTCCGCATTATAATATCATAGTATCGCTTTCCACCTCATTCCACCTTTGGCCATTTGGTTGCCGCCAACGCTGCGCCACTTTAATGCCGCAAACTCATACATCTTGCTCGGTAATGCCGGTAAAGTAATAAAAGCCTGTAAAACTGGGTTAGTAACTACTGTGCCACATCGATGGATAGTTTTGCATGGGCCATCGAACGTTTTGGCGTGTCGGCGTGCGACGTGCCGCGACTGCACCGCAACGCCCGCAACACCTGCGCTTTTGTCGCTCTCGATAAGTTTGTTGTTGGTGTCAAAGATAACAGCTGCCAATATCTAATATGTGTATGCCTGTATATATACCTTAATGTTTGGCTATTTACACCTACAAGTTGGCAACGCTTGCAGCAGGTGGCAGGAGGAGGCCGTGCAACAAATTGCCAGTAACCGTTCATGCAACAAAACGAATTCAAAATAGCGGAAAAGCTTTTAAATGAAATGAAATCAAATAAACAATAACTGTAACGAAGCAAGAACACGGCAAGAATAATACTAGTCGGTGAAGGACGGTGCGAATAGCAACAGCAACGACAGCTCTTGCGTTGCAGCAATCATTATTAACTGGCAATGTCTATGCTCCGTTGTCGATTTGTATGTAAGAGACACAATTGTGGCTGTGAGCTTACAATGGCGGTTATAGATAAATTGGCGAGGAAAGTGCGCGAACGCAGCTGTGCAGTCAGGCAAGCACCTGGAAAATGGACAGAAGTGTTGCTGTCACCGCTGCCGCTTGCACGTCGCATGCAGCAAAAGTGATGTGAGCCCGAATTGAAAGCGATGTTGATAAAGAGTTACAACTATAAAAACAACTGCAAAGAAAGTAGAAGATAAAATTTTAGCAGAGAAGTAAAAAATGATAGGAAACTTAAACTAC